ATAGCCCCGCCTCCCCCAAAAAAAAAAAAAAAAAAAAAAGAATTCGCTTCTAGCTTCAGTCCTCGATTTAGCCAGAGAGCAAGGGAAGAAGTTGGTGTGGTCCCTACAAGTCAGCCCTTTTGCAGGGACCAGAAGGGTGAATGGTGGGTCCAGAGGAGCAAGCAGACAAGATACTTGCCACACATACTGTTTACAAGAACTACACCAAAATTAAAGCAACAAGGAAAACTTCAAAGAAAGGAAAGTTACGTAATAGTAATAGGATATTAATAGGATTTTCCTATTATCCAGAAGTTGTGAGATTTATGCTAGACCCAACGCTGGGGAGCAGATGGAGACAAATGTTCTCCCATGAGAGAACTATCTGGAAGTCAAGCTGCCAGAATATCCCTGCAGGACTTACTAATGGGCACATCAGCCAGTACCCTCCTCTCCCTAGTCTATGTAAAGAAAGATTTGGGGATGGGGAAAAGTGATTTTTAGGCCTTAAGGAAAACAATATTCCTGGAGAGAAGCACTTGAGGAGATGCACAGAGATTGTAAATGAGGTGACTTGTGTCCAGTTCCTTGGCTGGATGCTTGCTGACTTGCAGAATACACAGGTCTGATCAGGTGATGCCACCAAAGTAGTGCATACAGAGAGTTCTTGGGAGAGTAATGTGATCTCCTGAAGTATGGGGCATACCAGAACATGGACACTGTGTCTACTTCTGGCCTGGAGAATCTTGAAGATGGCCACTGAATGACCCATGCCATCAGGGCTTGAAAGAAGAGTGGTGAAGTGTAACCAGGAAGAAGATGAGGCAACCATCCTCCCATCCCAGGTCCAACTTGATGTGACATGATATTACGGAGGATCTTATACTTTTTCCATAGTAGATAGAATACCAGCCACTATATCATTGGATAGTTATACAACATTTTAAATGACTTCTCTACAATATACATGGACAAACAATTCATACAAAGGCTACTGGTAAATTAGGTACATGAAGTGCTTAACCAAAGCAGTATTTGTAACAATGGTAAAATACCATCTAAATGGCCCAAAATGCGGATGGTGAAATGAATTATACACATATCAACTAGATGAAATTTAATTCTTAAAATAAGAATTCTTTAAATTGTGGAGCAAGATAGGAAATTATACTGTTAAGCAAGGAAAGTAGCATAAAAAAAACATTCCTAGTCTATGATTGGAACAGGGTAAAAAAGGGCATACACCAATGAGCAAATACAAAAAGCAAGTACAAATAAAACAAGAACCGATGTCTTAGGCTAGTGGAATGTGGATGAAGTCTTTTTTGCGGTCATCACTTCTGTTGTCGTACAGTTGCTTAAGAAATAAATGAAATCAAAGTCTCAAAACAGAGAAACAAATGGGTGGAAGCAGAAGAAGCAACAATTAGACAACCCTTGAGGAATTTTGCTTTAGAGGAAGCAGAAAATGGGGTGGTACCTGGAAAGGTCTGGGCCAAGGGAAGGGAGGGACTTTTATGAAGTTAGGGAAAG